AACTGTCTTGATTAAACATTTTTACAATTAATATATCATATTATCATAAAATCATAAAACAGCAAATTTACAGCTTGCAAATGTTAAAAGTCTGACATGGAAAAAAAACGTATTGTGATGACCTGAAATAGGATCATATAGGATCAGTCATGTCAGATGAAAAATCACATGTGATTTTGAAAAACAGGAAAAAGTTTTACAGAATATGCAAACAACGTTCCCTACGTTTCCAGTAGATTCTTTCTGAACTGATTAAAATTGAACTTTTCTTTACAAAATTTCATAAAGAAATATAATAAAATATTTCATGCTGCTCTTCACAGAGTAAAAAGAAGCTGAGTGGAAAAAAATGTATTAACCCAGTAGACTATAATTTAGAATGCAATCATTAATGCAATTAAATTTGGATACCTTCTGAATGGAAAAAATTGATTATTAATTCAAAGACATTAGATGAAAATCTGATTTGTAAAAAACGTACTTTTAAATAATGTGTGATAAAAGTTTTTGAGTTATATTTAAATGCATTATATTTAACATGCTGGTCCACACACATATTGCAAACATGGACAAGAAAAAGGTGGCACTCAATTAATCTAATGTCACCAATCTAAGACTAAACTATGATCAAAGTTTGCCAATACATATGACACTTATCTTCCAAGATCTTAAGATAACAGCCATCTCGTAGTTTTTAATGCCCTGACAGAACACACTACCTAGTTATGGCAAGAAAGGTTAGGGAAACAGGTAAATATATTCATAAATGGATGACAACGGGTATGACTTACATCTCTGTCCATTCCAGTTCAGGAGTTTTCAGCTGACACATGCTTAAATTTAGTTTAGGGCTAACACCTACCAGTTCTCACTGGAATGGGGAGGAAAGTTTTCTATACTACCCTGTCATTAAGGGAATAATAAAGCAATATAAAATAACTGAAATTTTACATAGGCAGAACAGAAAAACTAATCTTTTGCTTCAAAAAATTCACTTTTTTACATGTATTTACTCACAAATGAGACAAGACCGATGACTTTCTTGCAGGAAATTATGTTATCTACCATAGAACTGGAATCAATTCTTTTGGCCTATGACAATATTCTTCCGCCAGCAAGTGTAGAAACATGAGACCAGAAATAACCCTACAAATTACAGTGCTGCCTCGGACGCCGGCTGTGCAGATCAAAGAATAAATGAGGAGAACACCGCAGTTTGTAGCCAATGACACAAGATGGTCTGTACCGTAGATCGACATAGAAATGCTGCAAAGCCATGCACAAAGAGTCTGCTGACATTATTCAGAAATCAAGGGTGATTGTAATCAAATGTATCCTTCTGTTAGCACTAGCTGAAGCACCAAGAATTTTGCAGAAAAAAAACTGTTGATATGCAGAGAAATACATTTGACCAGGTACAAGGCTCTAAATCCAAGCAGAAGAAGTAGCTGCACTGTGTTTGCCTCCCTTTCTCGGGAAGAAAGATGACAGTGAAAGAAAGACACACGGCAAAAAATACACACAGTATGCTTCTTTATTGTGAAACAACAACGGCACCTATAAGTACGTCATGCTATACCAAACCGTCATGCTGAGACCTCACATCCCACAGTAGTCAATCGGACCATCAATGAATAGATTTATTGGCAAATAACGCTGGTAACAGAAGTAACTGACAACGAGTGGCTTGAAGTAGTTACCCACTTGCAATGACTCGTGCAAACAACACCAGTCTCAGCTGTGACAGTGGATCTGGAAATGCAACAATATTAGACAACCACATTTTTAATGTCTTTAAATCTGGAATAAAGCTATCAGACAAGATGAGACCTTGAATTTACAGCGATCCTTCCACTGCTTGTGTATATGCAGGCTCTGGTTTCATAATTTAAAATTCCAATACAACATGAGTGTACAATAAAGCAAACCATCATCTACCTGGATACATAAAAAATCTAGAAATCCTGATTTAAAATATTTCCCTAAAAAGTGCAAAATAAGCTCTCAATTCACCCTTGTCAGTCAGTTTTTTACAGTTTTTATTGAAAAGTGTTGCTCAATAAGAATTAACGTGTATAAAAGGGGGTTTACTTTCACCTTCTTGAATATCAAATGCTAAAAGCATTTCTGTACTGCAGTATCCTTCAAGTGATAATGAAAAGTAAAAAATTGATTTTTTTCCCCCACTGTGCAAACAAAAGGAAAGCCTTTCCTCAGCTTCAAGGTATGTTTTTATTATGCTTTTATTCTCCCCATCTCCTCCTTCAGATAAGACTAATCTTTGTTCAAATACAATGGTGATGAACTGTGTGGTTCTGCAAATCTCCCTGTGTTACTTGCTTAGAGAACCACTGACAGCTCTGAGATTACTGTGCAGGAACCTTTTCTCATTTAACAACCGCAGTGCAGATGCATGCCGATATACTGGAGCAGAATGTTAATCACTGTTACGCTCGGGAAACAATTGCCATCTACTGTTTGTCAGTTATTGCCACAAAGAAACAGCGCAGTCCTGAATCACCTTAACTATCACATCCCTTACAAGTACATCCGCAGAACATGAGATCCAATCTTTACTGACACTCTAAGGATTGGACACGGGTCACTTATTAACACTAAATTATGTTACAACAATTGAATGAGAGATATAACGCTGTCAAGGGAAAGACAAAAAGCATCATGGAAATTAAGGCATGCTCAGAATTCAGTGGCATGTTCTAAAATAAGATAAACCTGACAAAACACAGCGTATAAGAAACATAGCCTTGCATAACCAAAACTCAACCTTTCAAGAAAGGAATGTAGACATCACAGACATCCTTGTCTAAGAAATGTAATTTACAAAGAGCATTTGAAAAAAATCACAGTGCTTCTATATGGAAATATTCCCTCCTGCAGCAAAGTAGTTTACTGTGAACTTACAATACAGTAGGTACTGTAATTAAGCACAATAATACTGTTCCTTAAGAAGGAATAATACAATAGTACAGAATTCTGAAGGAAGGTATAAATTGCACAAGCGTCTGTTCATTGCTGATTTTCTGTCTGACCAACACATCTTATTTATGATTTAACAAAGAAATCGAGTAGACCAAAAATACAGTACGTAAGAGGAATTTAAGAATACATCTTAGCCAATAAGACAGCTAATTGCAGCTTATAGGTTCTTTGTCTTAAGCGTGAAGCAGGAGGCAGAAATAGTTTGTTAATTTAGGAAAAAAAATATTTTATTAGTCTGAATATATGGATGATTGGAAGCACTTGGCAGTTTAAAAAAACGTAAAGAAATATCCATTCAAAATAAGTTAAATGTATTTTCAAAGATGGGAGATAAACTGCAGTGGAACATTTTAGATGACGCATTGAGTTTTATTTTTAATGAAATTGAAATTTTTTAAATTATTCCTATTCATAAAAAAGCAAGAGAACCATGTTACATATTTTAAGCATTTGAAAAGACATTTAGCATAAAGGTGTCAATTTCAAACCGCCAAGTTTACTGGAACTTTTGGATCTGAAAACTTTGGATAATAAAGCTTACAATAAAAGAATGAAAACCCATGCATGATATTCGCTGTTACAATTAAAAACTGTTGTCAAACTGTAAAGTGTGAATAGATACTGTCATTTGTGTCACTGCTCATTCTAATTCTTAGCAGTATCTTACATTCATTTCTACACCGAGCTGTGGAAAGCACACATTCATCACTGAAGTAGTTGCTGATGTCTAACAGTTTCACATTCAGGCATGAAATAATAAAAAATAAGGCACCTTTTGAATTGGGCCATATCCTAAATCTTCTCTGACAGTTCAAAGTTTTAGTCCTACACCCATAATTCAAACTCAACTCCAACATCTACTCAACAGCTTCTTTCAGGTGACAAAGATCTCTTCATCTCTATCTGCAGATGGAACTCCACCATCTGACTGTGAACAGTTTTATGTTTTTCAAGAACATTTTACTTGCAGAAATAATATTAAAGAAAACAGAAGAAATATGTTACAAATAACTACTGTATCTGAAAAAGTACTGGAAAATCACAGCAACGTAAAGGCAGAAACAGGATTCTCTGCATTATTAAAATAACTGGAAAAACAGGGAGAGGGAATACTTAAAATGTCTGTAATAAAAAAAAGCTTTCTATCTAACCACATACTGTAAATTATAACAGCATATATCAATAACCTATTGTTTTGTTGAGGTTACTGGACCACTGATGTTTTCATAATTTTTCATGAAACCTGCATTAATGTAACAGGCTGAAGTTCAGGGATCCTTCAAAATGTGCAGAACAAAAAGCACAAGCGCTTATTTTAAAGGTCTGCTAGACTGCTCTTCGTCCAGATAAAGGTCAAGGAAGCACAGCTGATAGTCTTTGAAAAAAGAAACGCTGTATGTGAAATGATAACACAAGCATAAAATAGACAACTTTTTTAAATAGCCTGGTTCAATCATGATCACTAAATTGGTGATTTGAAGCTATGCGTCATGTGAGTTTTAATATTATCATCTGATTTACCAGTAGACAAGGGGTGTCAGAGACATCATGGCAAAAACATTCTGAGTGGCCTGAGAGATGAGTGGTGCCCACCTTATTCCTACAGCTGCTCTCAAACATGGAAAAAACGGTGGGCAACAGAAGAAGCTATTATCAGCTTTCCGTCCTAAAGAGAACAATTTCCTTGAACAACTCCCACCATTAACACTTTGTAACACACACACACACACAGTACTTCTTCTACACTCTCAGGGAAAAACAGACTGCATAGACTTCACTCTTTTATTTCAACAAGGTGTAAACCTACCATTCTTATCTCGCAGATTTCCAAACTGCAAGGCTAGCAGATTACAACACAAAACTATACGTTCATGAACACAGGCCGTCCCTAACGCCGCAATGCCCCAGGACAGTTCCTCTGGGTGTGCGTGTACCTGCTGTCCCGCGGTCAAGAGGATGCCTATGGGAGATGTGGCTGAGATGGCAGGATGATACTGTACCTGACTGGCCCTGGAGGTGGTCATGGGATCAGATGGAGAGGACTTGGTGGTAGTTGGGGAGGATGGCAATGTCTGGGAACAAAGCAGTTCAGGAGCAAAATCACCAACCTTTACAAACCAGGTTCTGAACAGATTTCACACAACCAAAAAGTCATCATTCAAACAGACAGCTGATGTAAACTTCTAAGTCATGCCTAATATAAACAAGTACAAAATCTGGAGTTCAAAGAAGGATCACTTAGAAGATCACTTAAGACAATTTTGTTAAAGAAAATCTCATTTCAAGTGTAAAATAACTCTTCTGTTAGACCAATGAAGTGTTAAATATTTAAGACGATATCATGACCACATTCATCAAAGGCAAATGCACTGACAATTCCCTGTAAATTAATATAGCACGCTGCTTCTAGGCAGCTAAAAGATGGAGTTGAGAACAATCTGCTTTTTTTGAACATAACCCGCATCCCAGATGTGTGGAGAATAGCGATGCAATGCGTGTCTGGCAGTTAGTCAGTTAGATTACTCTGCAGTTGATTATGATGCATTTCACACAAAAATGAAGTTCACCCTTTGCTTCCAAATGTAATAATGTCAGACAGCATTGTGGAGAATATAAAATAAATCAAAACACGAAGACCTTACTACTGTACGTTTTGTACTACACATCCTTCAAACTTTCTATTTTCTGTAAAACTGTTTTTACAATCAGATGTGTAACAGACACCCCCCCAAAAAGAAAAGTTTCCAAAACGGAATTCATCAGTAGGGAACAGAGTAAAATGATGCAGAGAACAAACATGACAGATGAGGACAATAATCTCCACAGAAAGCAGCAGAGGAACCCCAGATGTGAAGAGGGTGCTGAGGGAAGGCCTGTCAGCATGAGTGAACAATCTGTGGAAAAGTTTTTTGATGCCTCTATGATCCAACAGGAGAAGCAGAAAACAATTTATCCTCAGAAACATAACCATGTCAGTTCACTTCATCTTCCTCATCTACAGTATAACCGTTATCTTTGCGTGGATAACTATTCAATTAAAGTGGGAAAGATCAAATCAAATGATATATTATAGTAAGTACAGGGCCTGGAAAGCTGGACTTTCCAAAATCCCTATGTAAACAGCTCTGTTCACATAGCTCTTGACCGATATTATTGCGAATGAAAATACAGAAATCATGAAAAAAGAACTACTTTCCTTTAACAATATTGGCAACATGAAAATTTGAAAAAGGCAAAAACATTTTTAAAGCTAAGTATAACTCAACACTCAAATTGAATAAACCTATAACTATAAACCTATACTGAGGCTTAAAAATTGGATTGGAAGCAAAGGGCTTGAATCATATGACAGAGAACAACCTCTAAAAACAGCTGTGTTTTTTTTCACCTTTAAAAATGATTAAAACGACTCGACGCACTCATATTGAAATGAATGGCTTAACAACAGGTTAGCAAACATTCATGAAAGCTTTCCAAGTAACTCACCAGCTGGACGTACTGAGTAGTCAAAATGCATGAGAAAGGTATTTAATATTTCGCATGCTTTAACAAAAGTGCATTAATTATCATAAAATTAATAATAATTAGTTACACAATCATAAATCAACATGCGCTTTTCATTGGAATTCTTAACTGACGGGTAAAAAAACCTCTTTCTTTTAGAAATGTGGTCAAAATATCATTAGTAGAATATTGGGTAATGAAGCTACCATTCACACAGATTGCCTTTCTCTACATCTTACATTTGATTTCTTATTATTTGAGGTCATTCTATTTGCATGCTGTTGTATGCCTGCAGACATAATATTATAGATCAAAAAACAAAAGTTCTACCGCTCTAGTTTTTCCTCAATGGTAGATGCAGGCTCTAGTTTTTAATGTCCTCTACAAATGAATAAAGCCTCCTATTTACTGCTCCTGGAAAATTGACCCATGCAAGTACAGTATTTTGTTTTGTTAGTTGAGACAATTTTGATGAAAGCATTCACTATCAGACACAATCAGTATCAGTATTTGAACGGACGTTTGTTTGTTTTTCTCAAAAGTAAAAAAAACAACAACTTCTCATTGCGATATTCCCCCACTCCGAACAGCCCTTTAATCTGCTGTAGTAGGGGACTCAGTCAGCTGCCCCTGGGAGAAGGAGATCGGGGTGAGCTCTCACCTGTTTGATGCGGTCTGGGTTAACTGTGGTCTGGGGCTGCAGGATGCTGACAGGCTCCGTCTTCGCAACATTCTGAGGCATTTCTCGAATCTTCTCAGCTATGAAGCCGTGAACAGCGTTCAATGCTTCTACAGTTCCCTGGATCAGACATACCCGTTCTGTAGTACCTGCAGAGCCCACAAAAATCACGTACAGTAAGTACCTTCAAGGGAAAAGGAAGACAGTAAGGCAGTATCAAAAGAAACTGCTATAACCTTCAAGATATTAACTCTTTATTTCTGGTTTCTGGTAAAACATTTTTTTAAATTAAATGTTTAGGTTAAATAAAGGACTTCTCCCACCTCATTAAAAGGGCACTGCTTAAGTCTCAATTTTACAGAATAACAATGTACAGCTGAAAAACATCTAAAGCCTATTTAGTTTTTCAGTCTTGTGTACTGTTTTATTAATGTTGTTGTGGTTGTACTCTCTTTAAATCATGCATGACATGTGCTGCGGTTTCATGACTTTAAAAGGGTTCCGTTACATGACAAAGCCCCAGGGAGTCTTTACAATGCTGTATTAATTGTCCACTAAATGATGAGAAGTGATATGGATTGATTAGTGTAGCTAATGCAAGTGTATTTCCCCAGGTCAGAAGACAGACATTTAAACAAAGCAGGGATCGAGTTTCAGCACAGCACTTGCAGTCTGGCTGGCCTGGAGAGCAGCATGAAGCTGATGCCAAAACAACAGCACAGATGCAATACTTGGCTTCTCTAGAGTAAATTGTTACATTAGGAAAAAATGCAACATTTTTATATGGACAAAGCAGGTTACACTAAATTTCCACATGAAACTATATTCCATAAGAACAGTTTTTTTGTGATGTGACCCTTTATTTGGGATACTGCAGCAGTACATTTAATCATGAAATTTCTTCTTATTTGCTTATCAACAACAGGTTTTAAGTTAAATAAATATCATGTAAGTACCTTTCACTGCACAAGTATATACTGTACAGTATATTTTTTTAACTTAAAAAAAGGCCTGTAACTTGGTGAAACTGACTCATCATCCACAGTTTCATACCAAAAAAATCAAAAGAATTCTACAATATACTGTACATCGCATATACCAATAGATTCTTCACTGCATACCGTATATAGTATAGTTTGTGTTCCAAAGCTAATGCAAGGTTGTAGAGCCCAAGAATGACAGAAAATGCTCATGTTTATTTAAATGACTCTTTACTCTTAAATTAGTCTTATCCTACAGTGTTAAGTTCAAGTTGTACAGTATATCCACCATACTGTAAATCTGTAAACAAAACGAGACTTAAGCAATGTTCTAAGAGTGTGACTACTTAGAGGACACCTTGAGAAAGTGGTCAGTGCTTTTACTGTTTGGCTGAAGGCCTGATAACTGCTATAAATTTCACAGCATTAATTTACTGGAAACGGTGGTATTATAAAACATGGTGTGCATCCTCGGCATAATGGTCTTAAAACAAATGTAGAGAGAATTTGAGCATTTTTTTTTCTAGAGAAAACCAACTCCAAAATGCAGGGATACAATAATCATCCAGATTATGACATAACATTGCAAAGCAAATCTCAAATTGTTCACAGATAAATTGTTGCAAATGTCAGCTATCAAGAGATGGCCAAACAGATGTCACGCTCAATGATAATAAATGGAAAAGCTTTTCAGCAAGTCCACATCATCCAAGTAGAAATTATTCTAATCTTCAGGCTCTAAAAGACTTTGACGGGATCAAAATTAAGGGCAAGCACAAACAGCATTCAGATGTTTTGAGTGCCACCCTTAATAAATCTTTTTATCTGCTGTCTTACCAAGTTTCATCATGGATCTTACAATTCTCCCCCAAGCCTTAATTGTAGAAAGACTTCGTGCAAGAAACACCAGAGTATGGCAAGCATACAGGACTCCGGTTATATGGCCAATTTCTATAACAGCTTCTAGAGAGCTCCACATCCCTGATAGTTTTACTTATTTCTTGGGCTTTTAAACTCCATGTTTCTCATCTGAGCTGTTTGGTTGTTTTTTTATTTTTATTTGCTTGATACAAAGCATAAAAACTAAGCAAATGAACATAGCTCATCTTGTTTTACACTTTAGCAGAAACTGAAAGGAGTACACTTGTGAACATCATACTTACGAAAATAACTTATATTATACACAGAAGGATCAAACACGCAAAAAAAATACAAAGCCTGCTGAATTAAATGTTAAAATTGCCCAAGGACACATCTGGAGACTCATGCCCAGTGTTTTAGAAAATATGGAAAATAAAGGAAAACAAAAATGTCAACCAAAACAAATTCCATTACACAGGAAAACGACAATGATAGTGAGAAAGCAATGCTTCTGATCACCCTAGAGAACAGGCATCGAAATTAAAAATGAAGCTACTGGAGCAACACATCCATATTCCTCCAAAGATACACTATATTATCTGTTTGTGTTGCATAATAATGAGTTTAAACTTTTATTTATAATGGGTCTTCCACATCAGTGCATCTGGATTGCTTCAAACCACATGTGAATTGACCCAGCACCTTTATAACCCAGGCATACACTGCAAGACAGAAAAAACACCACCAGAGAAATTCAAGAGCAATGAGTCACACCAGGCTATGACTGTATTCCCCCGCACTGGACAGCCTTTTTTCCTTTACGTTTTTGTTCCCAGTAGTACGTTGCAAAGTACTGTAGATCCTCTTTTCCTCGTAGAAATAAAAGATAATGGCTGACAACAGAAAGCATTAAAGTACTTGACACACCGAGGCCAAGCTTAGCAATAATAACCAAGATGGACCATAGAATATGAATAAGATCTACATTATTATACTTCATCATTATTCAACAGCCTAAGCAGTGCACATGTTCAAATTCCTCCCTAAGAGCTACTGTACGTATCACAGATTTTCATTATGTGCAGTGAAACAAAATATAAAAATATTTATTTCACTTTTGGTTAAGTGTTGCTGGAAGCTTTCACCAACTGCTGCGATTTCAGAGCAGATGTTCGATAAAGATAGTGTTTGTAACGGAACAAACACACACACGTTAGTCATCCGAGATTTACTGAGCTGTACTCCACAGTTCTCCCTGACAGGGCCAGCACCTGTGAGGGCTTTCCTGGGATGAACCCAATCCTAGAGATATCCAAGCATCTTTCAAGGAAACTTTTAGTTTGGCAAATCTTGACTCCTGTGCGCTATTGTGACGCTCCTCAGCTTCTTCAGTTTCCTGCTGTTTCTGTGGCAAAGCAAGTGCTGCTGATCCACCACTTGAGGAAACACAGATAACTGGCACTTTGTTCTGCAAAGAACAGCCCTAGTTCACATAGCAGGAGACTATGTATGAATTGTGAATTATTTTAAATTTCAGAACCTTTTCGAAACCAGTTAATACAAATGATTGCTTTATTTAAAACAAAATTATAAGATAATAAAACATTTACTAGAATCAAAGGTTTCTAAAGACAAAAAGCTGTGTTCTCTTCTTGGCAGTACACTCTAGAACCTGATACTGAGAAAGACAAAGGGCTCATTAAGTAGCTGTTAGTGTTTCACATAACAGACATGAGCTTGTCAAATGAAAGAACTGTATCTTAAATAAGCCTCTGGTACAGGTTTTATGAATTCAGTGCTTGGATGTGAAGCAGAACTACAGTAATTGCCAAACTTCCCAAAATAACCCACGGTATGAGATAGCACCAGGCTAAAGACAATATGGCTCTACTTACCTACAGTATGGCTATGAATCCGGTACTTGTCTCACATTGGACTGCATTACAGTAAACTCTTGGATTAAAGCGGATTTTGGATTAAACGGACACAATCTGCTAAAAGGGAATTTTGTTTGCAAAATAGGAAATACTGGACTTTTCTATAAGGCATGAATATCACTGGTGCCCTACAGGGGTAGGGCAACTGGTATTGGGGCACTTGAATTGCTTATGTTGGAAGTTGTTTGTGGTTTGTATGCTTTAGCCAATTTTCTATGACACTTGAAATAAAAAGCTTGTATATTTATGGTAAAAAATGCACAGGAACAATTTTTATTTACTGTGCTGGTTCTTAAAAAAGATATATCATATCATAAAATAGTGTGTTTTCTCATCTGAAAAAACATCATTTGTGATTTAACAGAATTTCAGCACAAAGGACACCACTTTCCCCCATTAGTCCATTAAACCGAGGTTTTAAGATTTTTTTTTTCACCGAGTGAGAAATCAGTCCTAAGCTGAAAAGGGGGTACCCTCCAGTAGGAACCTGTAATAGTAGCTCAAATATGCATTTACTATTCATGAATTAAGTAAAGCATACTAAAAAATAATAAAATCATCTCCTTGTGATGGCTATTAGTTGATCTTGATTGTGACATGTATTGCTACAACAAAAAGAAGAATCTAGTTTCAAAGTCTCAAAGTGGTTGTGTACTTCAAAGGAGTGAAACAGATTTTTTCTTACTCCATACAGGAAACATTTCTTACCTTTCTTGAGGTATGCGCGGGACTTTGACAGGTTCCTCTCATCTGGCAACGATTAAATACTACTTTCTGATCTCTGTACATCTTATCACAGATGTTCTCTCTTATTTCATATCCTTTTTGTCTTAAGATATGGATATCATCCAAAACCATAAAGAACACATCTGAAATATAGTGTCTGTTGTATTTTATTCTTGTTTCCAGTAGAAAAAAGCTCAAGGAACAGGCAGGTAACTTAAACCTAGCGCTGCCGTTCAAAACCTCCAAAAAAATGAATCTGTCATGGAAATTCTTGCGTAATGTTAACATTTTAAAAGATGTGATTAAAAATAAAAATCCTGGAACTTTAATAAGCAGCTGAGAATATGGTTCAAACAAATCTCATTCTGCACAGCCCATTCCGTAGGACATGTCACGTTTTATTGTTCAGCAAAAAAAAATGTTTGGTGAAAATGCCTTGGAATGTAAGTGGAATGGGTACGAGTGTGAGACACTAAGTGATATCTACTGCAATCTTTCTTACATGGTCAGATACACTTTTTGCAAAACCACTGCATATACTGTATATAGGAGCATTTTCACTATGGGCCGTTGAACAGAGTAGCTCCGTTTGTATCCTAATTGTAATCGTTTTAACTTTAGCCATTGGTCCCAAACTATCCTACT